GATTATATATTAAAATTGTTTACTGGTTAATTTATTTTTTTAATATTATTTGTAAGATTTTGATGAAATGTTTTTTTTTTTTGCATTAACGTTGTAGAATTTGAATTAATTTTTGAATTAGTTGAATTAATTTGAATATTAGTGTTAGAATGATTTAACAATATTATTTTGAGATCAACAAAAAAGAGATTTAGAATCAAGTTATCAGCTTTAATAAGAATAGAAGGAAGAAGAAGAAGAAGAAGAAAAAGAAAGAAGAAAAAAAAAATAAGAAATGTAATAACACTCAATCGGTCAGAAAGAAGAAAAGTGTGTTAGTTGTCCCGGAAGGGAACGGCAGACAGTTTGGCGTCAAATCTACTTAGGAGTGGTGCAACCCTCGTATGTGGTCCGGCATGCGCTCTTTGAAGGAACTATACTGACCTTGACTCTATGGTGACTAGGACTGTGTCCTGTGTAAGAGTCCATCAGCTGATGTATGCATTGTATAACGCGTGAAAATAAAAAAGAAACAAAAATAAAAAAAAAACACACACAAAATTTAATCCTGAAGTATGTTAAATAAATAATAAATTTCAGGGTGAAAGGTACCCTAAAAAAAAAGAATAAAAAAATAATAAAAAAAATTGAAAAAAGAAGGAAGATCAAAAGTAAGAAGTTTATGGTATTTGTTGGTAACGAAAGATAGTGTGGAAGAAAGGAAGATATAAGAAAATGGGAAAATAAGGAAACGAAGGGAGTATGGAAAAAGTGAGATAGATAAAAAGGGAGAAAAAGAGAAAAAAAGAAAGAGAAAGAAAGTGAGAGAGAAGAAGAGGGAGAGAGGTAGTGCCATGATGGTTCCCCGATGAAGGGTCAGGAACAGGAGTGACTCCGTCTGGAGGGGGTGCTAGTTGCGGAAGGGGTGCGGGTTGGAAGGAGAGGGATGTATTGATTGCGCCTGGTTGGCACGACAGAGAGCAACAGAGCGCACGAGGGAGGTAAAGAGGAGGAAGAAGAAGAGGAGGAGGCTGCTGGATATCTAAAGAAGGAACTAGAGAGAAAAGGATAGAAAGATATTATGAAAATAAAAAGTGAAGTATAATAGACAAGTACATAAACTAAAAATAAGAAAAAGAAGCTTTTAAAAAGGATTGATAAATGTATATATATATATATATATATATATATATATATATTATTTTTTTAATTATTGGAAAATTATTTATTTAACAATATATGATTTGAAAATTATATATTTTAGATATATTATATTTTCAATAATTTAAAAATTTATTTTTATCTATATAGTAATTGAAAATTATACTTTTTAAATATATTATATATTTAGGATTTAAAAATTATATATTTTAAATATATTATATATTTATAATTTGAAAATTTATATTTATCTATATAGTAGTGGAAAATTATACATTTTGAATATATTATAATATTTCTAATTTTAAAATTAATCCTTTTAATTAAAAAAGAATAATAGTAATATTATTTTCTTTTTATAGAATAAAATTTTCATAAAAAATAAATCTAATATTAAATGATACTAATTGGAAAAAAAAAAATTGAACATTCTACTTATATATATATATATATATATATATATATATAAGATAGAAAAATAATTGTATTAAATCTTATAATAGATTTAAATAGATACGAAACTAAATATGATAAAAATTAAAATTAAATATTATCTCTAACGTTATCGTTTAATATTAAGTTACTTAACGAAAACCAATGCAATTCAAGGATGATGCTTGGGATATTATTTGATGTTATGCGATTTAGGTCGTTAGAATCGTGTCCTCGATCTGTCGATCGTCGAAACAACGTCACATCGTACTACTCTAACCCAAGAGATTCTCTTTCGGATCGTAATTTCGAATCGATAGGTTTGGCACGTTTAGGGAAACCAGTACGAAACGAACAGGGCGAACATGAACGAACGAACGAACGAATGAACGGCCAAATGAAACCTTTCCAAGTTATTTTAATTTTATCCTTTGCCAGACGAAACGAAAGGAAAAGAGCAAAACGAGAGAGAGAGAGAGAAAAAAAAAAGAAAAGTAAAATGAAAAAAATGTGACTGACAAGAGAGAAAGAAGAAAGAAAGAGACTTTTTGGGGGTTGAGGGAAACACATGGAAAGGGTTAAGAGTTTTTGTTCACTACCGGAGCATTCACTTTAGGAAATCACGAATGGAATCGACTAAGTGCCGTCTAACCCTCCCCCTCCTCCTCTCCCTCCCTCCCTCCCTCCCTCCTGATGTTCCAATTTCAACTATTTTTTCTTTCTTTCTTTTCTTCGTGTCACTTTTTAACTCGCAAGTTGTTACACGTAAAGTTGCGAATCTTCTTTTTTTTTTTTTTTTGGTAAAAAGAGAACGATTACAAAATGTTGGTCAAAAAGAACCCTTTTACGTAGGACTCGATCGAGGGTAGTTTTATCGTTGAGTAAAATGAAGAAGAAAACAAACAAAAAATACAAAGTAAATGAGTAATCAAAGAAAAATTGTTCAAAATGTCTGACAACTGTTTAAAAGTGAATAACGTTGTTCTTGTTCTTTTTCTTTTTCTTTTTCTTTTTCTTTTTCTTTTTCTTTTTCTTTTTCTTTTTCTTTTTCTTTTTCTATCGTTATGCCACGCGCGAGTGTCCCATGGCCGATTTATAGCCAACGACGTCCCTGAACTCCTTCTACCCCTGACGTATATTCCGTTTTCTTTTTTGCACTATGCTAAACTCTTTCATGCTCGATCCTGACGAGCCATGACTCTCTTATCCGCAGAGGAGGGAGACGAAGGACGAGAGAATTACGTAACGATCATTGATCTCCTTCGTGCCGATAGTCCAGGAAACTCCTGCAGTTTCTTACCTCATCTTCATCTTCTTCTTTTTCTTTTTCTTCTTCTTTTTCTTTTTCTTTTTCTTTTTCTTTTTCTTTTTCTTTATCTTCTACCCCAAACAATTTTATTACATATTTATATATATTTCAAGTATTCTACATATTGTTCTAAACATTTCATTTATGATATATTTCAAGATAAAAATAATATTATTTATCATACGAATGAATCCTAATTATTATTTGAATTACTACAAACATAAACTACAGACATACTGAATTACTAAAAACATTTGTTTATTTATAATTTTTAAGAAAGAATTCTTATCAGAATTTTACGAAGATAGTTGTATATTTCAAAAGAAAATCATATCGAAGAAAAGCGTAGAAAGCTCGTCAATCACTTTTGTTTAAAAAAATGATTTAATCGTCGTATAAAAAGAAAAAACAAATAAAGAGATCTCTTTGTAAAGATATTTTCGTAAGAAAGTGTGACTAGAAGAGTCACATCACACCAGCGTTTAAGATTAAAAGAATATCAAGGTGTGTGTGTTTGTGTGTGTGTGTATAGATGGTACGCGTGGCGTGGCAAGGCTTTCTAGATATCGAGGGAAAAGAAGGTTGTGCGTAAGAGCAAAGAGGAGAGAGCTTTTGAAGGGAGGGTAAAAAGTAGATAGAAAGAGAGGGATAAAGCAGAAATGGGGTGGTAACACCGTAGAGGGTAAAAAGACATAGATATAGAAGAGAGAGAAAGAGAGAAAGAGAGTGGATGTACAGGTGGGAAACGCGCGCAGCTTTTCAGGTTTGCTAAGCAAGAAAAGGAGCTTGCCAGGTGAACGGTGGGTCGTAGAAAAGGAAGAAGAGGAGGAAGAGGAGAAGGAGGAGAGGAAGGAAGAAGAGGAGAAGTTGGCTACGTGTTATCGTTCGGACCGACGGAGGTTGTGAGCCGGTGCGACGCCAGCGTCGCCGCCGACGCCTTTCTAGTTACGAATATATTTTCTCTTCGTCTAGTATGTGGGTATAGTTCTCCCCACTACGAACACCACCTCCACTAGGCACTACTACCACGACGACGACGACGACGACGACGACGACGATAACCAGCAGCACTATCGAAGCAGTAGTACCACTACTGGCAACACCACCACCACCGCCACCACCTCCATCTCCACGAGCATCATCAACACCAAAATCGAGAGAATAGAGAGAGAGAGAGAGAGAGACAGAGAGAGAATAGCAGCAGCAGTACCACTACTACTTTTACCACCACTACTAGCACAAGCAGTGGCACCACCACTGCCATTATCATCGGCAAAAGCAGAAGCAGAAGCAGCAGCAGCAGTAGCAGCAGTAGCAGCAGCATCGCTGTTACCACCACCACCGGCACGAAAGCTTTCCACCACCGAGACTCCACCTCGGTCAGGAAAAAGCTTCCGTAGAGAGCTCCAGCGCAACGGTTCCTTCCTCAGACGTGTTCTCGTTCGCGTAGCGCGACGGTGGAGCTTGCGGAGGAAAGTAGTTACACGCGTGCTATCGTGTTTGCGAAACCTACCGAAAAAGCTCGTCTCTCACTCTCTTTCTCTTTATCTTTATCTTTATCTTTATCTTTATCTTTAATCGTATACTCTATCATTTATCTCAGTAACTCTTTCATTTTATCCCTAGTTATTATTTGATCTCTTTCTCACTCACTCTCTCTCGTAACCTCGTGCTCAGCTGTGTGTATATGATATATAACAAGAAGAGAAGGGCGGTGATCGAGGAGAGCTCCGCTAGGGGGAAGGGTTCGAAGGGTGAAGAAGTAGTAGCAGTAATAGTAGTGGTGGTGGTGGTGGTAGTGATAGTGTACAAGACGTTTAGATGATAGGCGACTCCAGGTGGAGGCGCTACTATCAACCGGTCCCGATCGCTCGGTCACGGTGACGCGCGCGTTCCTTCCTCGAAAGGCGTGTCGTGTCCTCCTCCTCCTCCTCCTTTTCCTCCTCCTCCTCTTCCTCCTCCTTTTCCTCCTTCTCCTTTTCCTATTCCTTCTCCTATTCCTTCTCCTCAAACTTCTCTACTTGTCCTACTATTCGTCCTACTCTACTACCTTCACCTCTGACTTCAATTCTTCTTTATTCGTTCTTAAACCTTTTTCTTCTTCTTCCTCTTCTTCTTATTCTTATTCTACGCCATCTTTAGCATCATCATCATCATTATCCTTTTATCCTAAAATTACGTTTCCTTTTTTATCCTAAATCCAATTCTTTCCCAATTTCCATGAACACCTCCTCACGATGATACTCCTTAAGATTTACTATTCCTCGTTTAACCATCTCCTCGAAGGACTAACATCTCGTCGTCCTCGAGGATCCAGTTGTTGGACGCGTTGTTCTTCTACGGTTTTTAAAGAAGGATGAGCGAAAGAGACGGCGCGTTTCGCGACGACGACGACGACGACGCTAAACGGTCGATGTCGCCGTTCTGCTACCGTCGTTATTCCTGCTACTGCCGTTGCTGCCGTTGCTGCCGTTGCTCTTGGTAGTGCGTGTCCACTTCATTATCGTTGTGTCATCTCTATCTCTCTATTTCTATCTCTCTCTTTCTCTCTAATAATTCGTTTCTCTGATTGTCTTATCAAATGTGAAACATAGTACGTTACAACGTTAACATTCATCCGTGTGTTTGTGTGTGTGTATGTGTGTATGTACCTCTCTCTCTTTCTTTGTCTCTCTTTCTGTTACCTGATTAGTCTAACTCTTTTGATCATTTTTATATACATGTTTCATTATATATGTGCGTACACACATACATATACTTAGACATTTACGTTGTGCGTGCTTTTGCTCTCTCTCTCTCTCTCTCTCTCTTTCTCTGTCTCTGTCCTTCTCTCTCTGTCTGTCTTTCTGTCTCTCTTTCTCTTTCTCTCTCTCTCTCTCTCTCTCTCTCTCTCTTATTTTCTATTTGTGTGCGCGCGCGCGTACGTACACGCCTCTCCTTTCCAAGCGCGTCCTCGTCGTTCGGTTCGGTTCACGCGCCTATGTTTCCAGTGACACGCTGCGGAACTTTTCCTTGCCAAAGGGACCGTGAAGAGAGAGACAGAGAGAGAGAGAGAGAGAGAGAGAGAGAATGATTAAGACTGATGAGATTAAAGAGAGTTTTAAGCGGATATAAATGAGATACAGAACGAGAGAAAAAGAGAGAGAAGAAAAAGAAGACGAAGAAGAAGAGGAGGAAGAGGAAGAAGAAGAATATTTTCAACTTAGGATGAATAAATAAAAATGAAAGTAACTTAAAAGAAAAAAGAAGAAAGGAAAGACAGAGAGCAGCAAGAGATAAAGAGATTAAGAGAAAGAGATACGATTGGCAGAGAAAACGAAAGTCAAAGTGAAAGATAAGAACAAAAAAAAAGGAAGATAAATTAGGTTCTTTTTATAAAGTCAAAGGGTGCAACGGATAAAAGGAGTTAAAGACAGACGGACACAGTGATGTTAGAGATTCTCAAGATAAAAAGGGTGATAAGAAGGGTGTAAAGAAATAAAGGGTGAATGTCATAGGAAGACAGAGAAGATAGAAGAAGAATAAGAATAAGAATAAGAATAAGAAGAGATTGAAGAGAGCAGCCATTTTGGTCGGTGGCTGTCCGCGTTGCCGATGACCGCGGTGGTGGTAGTGGTGGTGATGATGTTGTTTGGTGTTTCTACCGGCATTGTTTGTTCGTCGGTGTTATTCGTGACTGATCATCGTTCTCGTCGTTCCTCGTTCTCGTCGTCTTCGTCGTCGTCGTCGTCGTCATTGTCATCGTCTTAATCGTAATCGTAATACGTGTTTTTATAATAGCAAGTGTTATCTCTTTATTGAGAGATTCACGATCAAGATTTAATAAGAAAGAAGATAGTTTTGACGAATTATCAAAACAAAATAAAAAAAGGAAAATTAAAAAGATAAAGAAGGGAGAATAAAAAGGGGGGGAAGTGAAAAAAAGTAAACGAGTTTTTTGTGTGTGTGTATGTGTATGTGTGATAATCAAAAAGGGGGAAGAAAGAGAAAAAGAAAGGTTCAAAAGAGTGAGAGAGGGTGAGAGAGTGAGCGAGAGAGTGAGAGAGAGAGAGAGAAGCATTGCAGGGTGCGTGTTGTGCGGGGGTGCACCGCTCTCCGGTGGGCATGGGGCTCGAGAGGGGGATCCGCCCCCTCTCGTAACCGCCGCGAAGCGCCAAGATTTCCCGCATCGAGTTCATCGAGAAATGGGGGCTGACCCCTGTCCTCAAACCGAGGCAGGACCTACGCCCCCACCGGAATGGTGCGGAGGAACACGGCGACACGAGGTACGATCTCTCTCTTAAACTTTTTTATTTTTATTTGATTTTTTTTATCATTTTTTTTCTTCTTGTCATATATATATATATATATATATTACATTATTTTGGAAAGAATTTTTCATTCATAAATTATGAACAACCAACAAAACCAACCCTTGTCCTGACTTTCTTCGTATTTTCTTCTTTTATTTTTTGTATTTTTTTGAGATGGACAAAAGGGATGACAAAAGAAATGGTTTGTTCTCCGCGTCAATTTTTTTGGTTTTCTTTCTATTCCTTTTTGTTTCTTGGGAGTGGAGTTGTTTTATCTTTTGTGGGATTTGTTTGAATTAGAATATTGGAAAAATAATTAGCAAATTGTTGTATTTTTAACTGTCTGCTGTCTTGTTCTCTACTCGACGTGTTGGCACTGGTACTGGCGCTGGTGCTGGTACTGGTGCTGGTGCTGATTTGCGCGCGGGCGCACACGCGCCCTTCTCGAGAGAACCGACTTTCCGTTCGTTCGGCAACGTGACGTCCACCCCCGTGCGCAATCTATTGTACAACCGCGTGTCTACTACACCAATGGCCCTTATAAATATATGTATATATATATATATATATATATATATATATATATATACATATATATATATTTTGGTTTTAAAAATAACTGTGTGTTTTGTGAATTTATTCTCTAACTTTATTTCGATTTTTTGGTATTTTTTAATTTTTTGTTTATTAAATCAAGTGCCTAACATTTTTTCTTCTTTATAATTGTTTTTAATAATATTTTGTTTTATATATATTTCTGATAAATCACTGGTGAGGATTTGTTATACAATTTTTATATAATATGTATATATAAATAATTTATAATTAAATTATTAAATAAGCTTTACGTGATCGATGTGCGTTTATATATAAATTAGTTTCTTAACTCTTTAGTAATTTTAGAATGAAATCGTTGTAAATATATATATATCGAGTTTGAGATGAGTTACGTAGGATTATAAGACATTACGTGCATGCAAAATTTAGTATGATATTATTTTGAGAAATAAATGTCGTCTCGATTAAAAAGATACAAAGTAATAATAGTATTAATGTTTTCTATTTTATATATTCTTCAAGAAATTTTGTTGTTTAGTTTAGCTCAAAGAAAAAGTTAAATTACAATAATTTGCGAGAGCGTGCACTTAGAGTGTCGAGAGTTATGAGAAAGAAAGAGAAAGAAAGAAAGAAAGAATGAAATAGAGAGTAAAAATTACTGAATTGGTTAAATTATTTTTTAAGTTGGTCTGTTAAGCTTTGTATAATTCTGAAAATTATTCAAAAGTTTTATTTTATTTCATATATTTTTTCTTTCTCTCTCTTTTCTAATTTTATTTCTTTTATTTGAAAAATACAAAAAGACAAATATTTAAGCTTATTTTATTTTTGTGTGAACGATTTAAAGTTTTAAATTAAAATTTTTTATCTCTAAAAATTTTCTATACGAGTATTTTATTTTACATTTAACGAGAATAATAAAAAAAAAAAAAAAATAAATGAGAGATATTTTTCATAGTTTTGAGAATTTTGCATGATCGTAGAATAAGTGGATTTTGTTTTTTATTATTCGACCAATTAGATGTTCATATAAGTTGTGCAAGAATGTTCTTTTTATTTTTAATTTTTCCATTGAAAACAATAATAATCAATTTAATACCCTGATCAATTCAAGTACACATTCATAACACATACACATCATTTTGTAATCGCGATATTTGGAAGGAAAAAGTGAGAGAGAACAAAAAAAAAGAAAAATAACAAGGGTGTCCATTTAAAACACTTTCAATTGGTATTTTTGCACGTTTCTTTTGTGATATTTATGAAATACGAAGTAATCGTTGCAAAGCAATGGACGCATGTAACGTGGTGTTTATAGAACGAACGCGTGGGCCCAGCTGTCTACTACGACAACCATAACCACCAATCGTTTGATTACAAAACGTTAAGCACGGGTTTTCGAGAAAAATCATCCTTGATACTCGCAATTAGACTATTTCTTACGTTCGTCGATCTTTCGACCTTGAAAAATAATCCTCTCATACATTTGTCTAATTTGTTTTTTCCCCCTTTTCCGTATTATCGATACATTATTTCCTATTTTTTTCTTTAATTGATATAATTCGAATTGCAAATTGTAATAAAAAGTAAAAGGAAAAATAATCAAAAAAAAAAAAAAAAATTTAAGAGAAAGACAGTAAGAATAAGTGTGAGAGAAAGAGAGAGAGATAGAACGTTGCTTTTGCTTTTTTTTTCTTTTTTTTTTTTTTAATAATTTTTTTTTCTTCTTAAAAAATAATCTTCTACGACGTGTTTGTTAATTGTCGTCAAAAAATTGTACAAAAAATTGTCCTTTCGTCGATGTATATGTATTTTTCAGGCGCGTAAGATGGTGTCGTCACGATTTTGTCAGAATAACTGAAGAAAAAGAAAGAAAGAAAGAAAGAGAGAAAAAGAGAAAAAGAGAAAAAGAGAAAAAGAGAGAGAGACGGTTCTCCCGATGTACAATTGCATGCGGATCTTTTGAGAGACAAAACTCACTGTACTTATACGATTTGGCATCGATAACACTACTGGAACTATAGTTACACTTTTGTACCCCCTTCTGAATTAGTCATTAAGAGAATGGAAAACACGAGGTATTCTTTATCGTAAGACCTTTTTTTTGTTAACAAGATTACCAATTAATTCAATAGTTCTTAGAAATTATTATTATTATATTATTATATTAGCCTTGATAGTTTTAACTAATAGTACGCTGAAAGCTTTTGCGAACATGTTTCAAACGAGTTTATTATTTTCATTTTATTTTACATTTTTATATTATTTTATGTTCCCTTATAATTTGTTCTTTATTATTATTTTCTATTGATTCACTTTGTTTAATTTAATTAATTTTTAATCAATAATAGGATATATAATAAATGCTTTGAGATATGGCTGTGAAAAAA